GAAGTATATTAAAAAATCTTGGGACGCCGTTCAGGGTCCTTTTTGGACCTTGATCTCTGGAAAACTCCTAAACCGTAAGACTTGGAGACAAAAAAATTTTTTCATTCCCGTAACTCATTGTGCCGAACATTTATGGAAAGTTTCGTCAAGATCGGATGCACGGTGTGGGAGATAATTTCTGAGGAGGGGGGGGCCCTTAATCAGCCAGGTCATTTTTTGAAAATCCAGTTTTTCGAAAGCATTTTTTTATAAAGCTAATGTTATATTCGTGACTGTGGATAACCCCTCCATATGAAAAGACAACTTAACTGTTAGCAAAGAGAAAAGTTAATTGAAGTACATTTATACATTTATTTCATGTATATGAACAATCTTTCTTCATGAATTAAGTGATATAATGGTTTTATACTTTAGATATGAATATACAAGATATTAAACACTTATCGATTAAAGAGCTCAATGAAATACTTGAACATTCACCTAAATTAGACGAGTTACCCGAAGAAATTCAGTCAAATGAAATATATCGTCTGTACTTAAATGAAGATACACAAAGTGAGTTATAATCATATATTTCTTCTTTTAAAAAAAGCCTCTGCTTGTTATCTGTTTGTCTGTCTTGCCCAAATTCACTTGTATTTTATTCTTTTTATTCCATAGACGACTGAAAAGCAGACGGATACCGCTGGAAAAGTGGATCATGGCGTGAATGGCCAAAAAATAAGAATTTATTCAAAAAAATATATTTTACGTGTGTTAATGGTGACGGAGAGGTGGACAAACGATTTATTAAGCATGTCTACGTGTCAAGGGAGATTCCTTTCGATGTTATAGTCGTATATATTGGTAAGAGGAATCTATTAACATTTAAACAGATACCTATATGCACATCTTACATTTCAGGAAACAAATCCGTTGCCAAAAGTGATCCGCATGGAAATGCCCGATTATCGACATCACACATTTATCAACGAACCAAACCGTCGGTTATTAAACAAATTCAGAAGTCCGTCAAAATCTCGACTGTAAGTTTTGAGCATCTGATAGGTGTTAGGCGAGAAAACCAACTCAAACCTGACAGCTCCAAAACTAAGTGTTTAGCCGTTTTGAACTATGCGTTGTCTATTCGTTCCCTTACTTTTCAAAACATCTCAAACATACTCCAAATTATAATATCGAAATAACAAAATTCGAAAATATTCTCCAAAATTATAGAACGAACTAAGTAGATCTCTAAAAGTGCAAAATTCTAAAAACGCAGAAATGAAAAATATGAAGATTGTAAAAGTCTAAAATTCTGGGGTTCTAAAATTCTAAAAGTGTAGAATTCGCAAAACTCTAAAAAGGCAGAACTGGAAAACTTTAAGGTTGTAATAATCTAAAAATCTAAAAGTGTAGAATTCAGAAAGTGCAAAATTCTAAAAATGCACAACTGGACAACGTTAAGATTGTGAAAATCTAGAATTGTAAAATTTTGGGAACTGTTTTTTTTATTGTTAAGTTTTTGAAGTGTATCGATATCGAAGGGCGCTCGAATAGTGCAGTATGAAAAGTGCGGCGAGAATCATTTGTTTTTTGTGTCAACCGCTATAATGTATAATTTTTCGTATTTCCTAGGCGTCAACGGTGTACAAAGCGTTTATTGGTGAAGCAAGCATCGATTCGCCACGTGATATCACACAAGTTAAACATTATCGTCAAAAGTTTTTGCAACAAAAACATATTACAAATGATGAATTATTAAATCTCATTATATTATCAAATGGATTGAAAGATTACATCCGAACATACCAGATTCAACCACAATTAATTTTAGTATTAATGCACGCCGTCGGTGAAAATTTATTTAGTCAGTTATTGGAATTAAGCACAAAACCGGTGCCACTGTACTATGACACAACTTTTAATATTGGCGACTACTACGTTTCTGTCAGTTTGTTTAAATTGTATATATGCATCATGATTGTATTTTGTTAATTTTGTTTTT